CAGTCATAGACAAGTTGCAGTAGCAGCCCCATGGGCTAATGGTTTAGTTGAAAGGATAAACCGGTTTTTAAAATCGTCATTAAAGAAGGTTGTCGAAGAGCCGAGCGATTGGTTTGATCAACTACCAACGGTACAATATGTCATAAATAATACGTATCATTCTTCATTAAAGACATCACCGTCTAAACTTTTATTGGGATACGACCAAAGCAATCACTCAGATAATAAATTAATTGATTACTTTTCAGATTTGTTAAAAGATAGTTTTCAAAGTGATAATGACCGTGAAACTGCGCGGCAGTTAGCTATCGACACTACAAATAAAATTAAACATTACAACAAAATTTATTATGATCTAGCTCATAAAACTCCGTCTGTATACAACGCAGGAGACTATGTAATGATTAGAGATACGTTAGTCAAACCTGGTGAAGACCGAAAATTTAAAATACCATATAAAGGTCCTTACCTTGTCGATAAGGTTCTTAATAAGAATCGCTATGTAATAAAAGATATACCTGGTTTCAATATAACTCAGCGTCCATACAATTCTATTTTATCACCGGACAAGCTAAAGCCATGGGTAAAACCAGTTATACCATAACAGTCTTTCAGACGTTCCTTTGTGATTATAATAATATTTTGCGTTTGTGATAATAATAGGTATTAGTATAAGATAAACATATACGTTTGTTACATATATCACTAGCCTTAAGTTTTACTTTTAAGTTTATACGACCTAGTCGGTATTCCAAACTTTATATTGATGATTTATTCAACGTTATGTTACGTCTCATAGTATTTTACATGTACCGTTTGTTGTTTTTATAGTTTACGTGTAATCTTTTCGGAATCTCTGATCACCGAAAAGAAAAACCTACATTCGAGGTCGAATGTTTGCGCAGAATGGCCGAGCTGTAAGCGAGCGCCTGTTTCCGACATCAGCTCCGCTATAATTGAGATGTTAGCCGTCTCGTAGCGCCACGATCGCTACATGCGCGGCGCGTATATAGTTTAACTTGAAGTCGTCGTTATGGTCGGCGCGAGTGCGTCTGCGCGGTGTGACGTCGTGTGTGCGGATTGGCCGCTTGAGTTATTCTAGTGAGTCTTTGTACAGAAAGAAGTCGAGTCGTTGTACAAGAGTCTTGTCGTCCTGAATGTCGAGTTGTGTATCCGCGATAGTATTAAAGCTATTAAGTCTAACCAAAGTCTGTACGTGTTGTTTGCGTCCTGGTCGCCTGTCATTTCCTATCCCTCCCGTAAGGAATCCTGACACCGTGCTCTCGTCGTGTCTGTGGCTCGCCAAGCGTGGATCATAGAAATCAACGGAAGTAACACCCTTACAATATATAATCGTTACATCATGAATTATGTGCATATCTCAAATATTAAATTTAGCAATGACAAAAATATTAAATTATTTTAATAACTTTGGTTTAAAAGTCTTATCTATTTTTTATATAATAATCATAATTGTTTAATAAAGTAATCTTTTTCTTCTTACACATATAGGTACATTTTGCTCCAGAGATGTGGGACGAAAAAGCTAAAAAACGAAAATTGAAACCAGATGCAGTTCCAACCATATTTGGATTTTTTCTAAAAAAGAAAAAACCAGTGGAAACTGAAAATAATACAACACAAGTAGTAACAGATACAATAAATAATAATACAAATTATAATGAATCAGATCATTGTATCAATTCTATTCAATTGGATCAACCTATTAGTGAAATTCAAGAGCAGGAATATCAGGTTAATATTAAAATAGTAAACTAAGAAGATAATATATGTATTTAAACATGTTTAATATTCAAAAATGAATTTTTTAGGTAATTAATGATGCCACTGGATCTAATAAAAAAGAAGAACAACGAAATAAGAAATTAGAAGAGATTATTCGAAAACAACATCTAGACATGATTCGATTGCGAAAAACAATGAAAACTTTGAGATTTACTATACATACATTGAAACATAAAGACAATAATGATAAATATAAAAAAGCTTTATATTCAGTTTTTACTGATTGTCAAGTTAAAGCTTTGTTCACTAAAAAACGAAGCGTTCGAACATGGTCACATAAGACAATTGAACGTGCTTTGCAATTAAAATTTGTTTGTGGCAATAACGGATATGAAGAACTTATTCATCAAGGAATTCCACTTCCGAGTCTACGAACATTACGGCGAAAAGTAGAAGATTTTAAGTTCGAACCTGGAATTTCAGAAGAAATGTTTTACTTTTTAAAAAATAAGAAACCTGCTTTTAAAAATGAGACTGATCTGGAATGTGGATTAATATTTGACGAAATGTCTATTACGTCAAAAAAGTCTTATAATCCTTCAACTGGATCGTTTATAGGTAATATAACGTTTCCTAACGATAAGGGTATTGCTACGCATGCTCTGGTTTTTATGCTGGTTGGCATTGGTAGTCGCTGGAAGCATGTGGTTGGGTATTATTTCACAGGCAATAGTTTTGACAGTAAAATATTAAAAGAAATAATATTTCAGATAATCAATAAAACTGAAGAAATAGGTTATCATGTAAATTTCATAACATCAGATATGGGATCTGGAAATACTGCATTGTGGAGATTATTAGGTATAAGTACCGGTAGACATAGTAAAATAGTAAATTGTATTATACATCCATTCGATGCGAATCGTTATTTATATATTATTGCTGACCCACCACATTTTCAAAAATCTTAAACAAGCGTTAATTAATAATGAAGTAATAACTATTTCTGATGATATTGTAATTAAATATAATTTACCTACAAATCAAATAAAATTAGAACATTTCAGTGAATTAATAAGTATTCAAAACAATTCTGAGCTTTTATTAACGCCTAGGTTAACTATAGACGATATATGTACCAACAATTTTAATAAAATGAGAGTGAATAAAGCCAGAAATGTTTTTTCTCATGATGTGAGTAGCTCATTTAAACTGTTAGCGGATGAGAAGAATAAACCGGAGTACATTACAACTGCTTGGTTTGTACAAATTGTTTCTAAGTGGTTTTCTCTTATGACATCAAGGTGTTGTACTATAGCATTAGGCACAAAAAATGAAAACGTATATAACGCTAGTCTTGATTTTTTAAATAAAACTTTGATAAAAATTGATAAAAACGTTATCAATTTTTTTACACAATTAAAAATAGGTAATGGGTTTAAACCAGTACAAAGAGGTATAATAATTAGCACTACGTCAATAATTGAACTAACTAACTATCTTATAACAAAAAAGAATTTTAAATTTGTTTTAACTTCTCGTTTCACTCAAGATTGTATGGAGAACTTTTTTCTCAAATAAGACAGAAAAATGTAATACCTCACCCACTACAATTTTCAAATGACCTAAAATTAGTTTCTATTGCAATGTATATGAAATGTATCAATAATAGCAGTTATGATAATGATGACAGAGAAAATTTACCCGGATTTGTTGAATATTTGTCAATAATAAAACAGAAAAACGAATGTGAAAGTGATTTAAACAATAATGTAAGCAATAGTGACGAAATTCCACTTTTTAATTAAAATTCAATATCACAGTTGTCAAGTTTAGAAATGAACAGTTTATATAATATTGCTGGATATATCATACAATCAATTACAAAAATATGCAAAATATGTAATAATTGCTTACAATCAGTAGGCTCAAAAACTGCATTGTCATATACATTCACAAAATTAGTACAATACAAACGTTTTACAAACAATTGTTTATTTTTTATCAATGTTGAAACATTTAAAATATTTGTAAAATTTGAACAAATATTTCGTCACTATTCCAAATACATTAATAATATGAAAGATATTAATCTAAAATTATTTTTAATTACAAAATTAAAGGAAATTAAAGCTAATCATATCTTAGACTGTCACACAATATACATTAAAATTATTTTATTAAAAAAATTTTTAAATTATACATTACTTATATATTATATTTTTTATTATATATTATTATATTTATATTTTATTATAATATTATATTTTATTATAATTTATTATATATTATAATATATTTTGAAAGTATTAAAAAATTTAATTTTTCTTTTTCTTACTCCTTTTCCCTATATATTTGAAGTTTCAAAATAATTTTGATAAAGAAACTATATTAAATACCATCAATTTTTGTGATGTACATTATTCAGAGATATAATCTAAAAAATTCTATTTATTAATATCTTTAAAATGTTTATATTTTAATTGTTTTGTTTAAATTTTACAATAACACGAATATTACAGTTTGAATAAAGGCGGGAATTGACGAAAATAACGAACCAATCAAAACTGGCTGTCTCGTGACTAGACTCTAAAGGTATAATTTCATGCTGACGCTTGACGCTTATTTTTAGCGTCAATATAGATCATGTGATACAAATTGACGAATATTAAGCATCAATTTTGATCACGTGATCTGTTTTGATGCTAAAAATAAGCGTCAAGCGTCAACATGAAATTGTATCTTTATTAGAGGGTCTCTAGCTCGGGGCCAGCGGCGGCTCGGGGCCAGCGGCGGCGCGCGGCGCGCGGCAGGCAGAGGGCGTAAGTGAACGGTCACAAATCTGTTGTACCGATCTCGATCAAGTTCGGCCGTAGCTCCAGCATCCCCTTAACCAAAGGACACAACAATTGGTGCTGCGGACACGAGTCTCAAAGTTGAGGTTATAAGAACCACATGCACGATCTCGAGATGGAACAACTTTTGAGTGCATTAACTCAAAGTCAACAGCAACTAGCTCAAGGCCAGCAGATTCTCATGCAACAGTTAGCTGAATCGCAGAAACACATGGTAACGCTTTTGGAACAAACGCAAGATAACCTCGCTTCTACTTCTTCACAATCGTTGGCTACGGATAACCAGTGTGGTTAAAACGTAAATAAATACCATTTACCCCTACCAATGTTACAAAAAATCCCTACAATTCCCTACGCTATAGTTAAAAAAAGAAGAGAGAGAAAATAAGCGCGAAAATTTAAAAATATGCGTAAAAAGTGAAAAAATGAAGGAATACAGTATCATATACAATAGAAATGAATATATTCTTCCAGGTCAACAACATGTATAATTACATATACATATAATTACATATACATATACATTATATAACATATATCAAATATATTAACATATACTATGTATATAAATGTGAAAAAGAAACAAAAATAGAATATTACATCTTTACATCAATTCAGTCTCTCTGTCTCTGATAACATAAAAGTCATACAAACTACTGATCATCGTCAGAGTCTATTAATATATCATTATCTTGACTAGTGGAGGGAATTTCTATTTCCTCTCGATAATAGTAACTTGAATTGTATTTTTTAAATAACTCCTCTCTTAAAGGGTAGTTAGTAGCATTAACTTTTAAATTTTCCATGTGCATTTTAATCCGTAATAATGAACATAAAGTTTTAGTACTTAATCGGTTACGTTTTTTTGTTTTTATATCACTGCATTTAGAAAAAGTTCTTTCTACGTGAGGATAAAACTATTTTTGTCAATTTAAACAAATTTGCAAATAGATATTGATCATTAAAATCTTTTATTTCAGTAATTTGACACCAAAATAATTCA